ACACTTCAGGGGTAATAATTTTCCTCATTAATGTGTTGTCCCCCCTTATCACTACCTCAACCTCCGCCGGCCCATACTTCAACGTCATCTTCTTCCAGTCCACCCTAATCTCCCCCAATTTCGCCAGCCACTCAACTCCCAACACTACATCAACTCCTCCCAACTCAAAAAGATAAAAGTTCTCTCGGATCTCCACTCCCTCCAGTGTCAAGGACAACCCCATGCAACATCCTTGTGTCTCCTTTCTCTGGCCATCACCCAAACCTACCCGATATGATGTCGTCTTCTCTTTCTCTAACCTCAGCTCTTCGACCAAGCGCGTCGAAATGAAATTGTGACTCGCCCCGCTGTCGATCAGCACTACGATCTTCCGGTCCCGAATCCAACCGGGCAACTTCATGGTGTTGGATTGCGCTATTCCTCCAGCTGAATACACCGACAATTCCATGCAAAGCTGTTCCGCCTCCTCTCGTGTCTCTGCCTCTTCCTCGTCGTCATCTGCCCCCATGTTCATTATCTTTAAACTTCTCTCCGCACAACGATGGCCTGGGCTATAAGGATCCCCACAGTGGAAGCAACGACCCTCTTCTCTCCTCTTTAGGTATTCCGGATATGGTTAAGTTCGCACTCCGCAACTCGGCCCGCCTCCGCTTGCATTGCTTTCTACTTTTGAACCGGCGGTCCTGGTCGTCACTTCTTTCTTTGGACCGAGACCTCCCTCGCTACTCCCATGCCCCTCCGATGACCCGCGATAGGTCTCCGTTCTCGCTACCGTGCCCGCGCTGGCCGCATATTTCCCCCACGTCGATCCTCCTTTCATCGCCCCACCACCGCCAGACATCCTCGCCACTAGTCCCGATTGCTCCACGTCCCGTGCCCTTTCCATCGCAGTTAACAGATCGCGCGGATCATAAGGTCTAACGAGATCCCTCAATCCTTCTTGTAATCCAGCAAAGAAATACCCAAGAAGTTGTTCCTCCGTCACGCCCGCCACTTGAGCCACCAGGACCTCGAATTCCTGTACATATTCCTCCACCGCTCCTTTCTGTTGAACCGCCGCCAATTTTTCAGAAATAATTCCCCGGTGTCTACCTCCCAACCTCCTGACCATCGCCTCCGTCAATGTCGCCTAGGTAGGATTTTGCACCTTCTTCCGCCAAAAACGGAACCAATAATTCGCTCCCCCTTCCATACAAATGTACACCAGCTTCATCTTCTCCCTTTCTGTCACATTTTGTAATTCGAAGAATTTCTCCGCCCTAGCAATCCATCTCATCGGATCAATCCCTTCGAAAGTGGGTAATTCCACTCTCTTCATCCAACTCTTTTGAATGTTGCGTTCTTCATCCGATTCTTCATCTGATTCATCCCCCTCCGTATCCCGACCTCCATTAACTGAATGATTGCCTTCAGAACTCCTCCCCTGGTTCTCTCTTCTCCCACGGTCGCGATTCATGTTTCGAGCCATTCCCCTCATCTCTGCTCGAATTTCCTCCAACCTCGCTTCCATGGCATCGAATCTTCCCTCCAATGCACTAACCCTGTTCTCCATCTTGTCTCTCCTTCAATCTGGATCCGGCAGGTCGGACCAATATTGTTGGACTTCTTAAATCAAGAAGTCAAGAAAAGCAAATAAATCACACCGAACAGAATGCACTTCTCTGAATATACTTCTCTTATTCAATGAACTGAGAATACAATTGTATAGTAATCACCCCCAAGGAAGCCCGATCTCCCTCCACTGGACTAATGTTCCAGTTAACAACAAAATACTAATTTCATACCCCCCCGCCCTTTACCACTAATTCTTATTTATACTCCCCTTTCCCTCTAACTAACTTCTAATAGAAACTCCCTCCTAATTTTTAACAGACACTCTCTCCTTCCCACCTTTATTTTTCCTCACATATACTTTTATTCCCCTATCAGTTTTGGTATGAACTATAAACATATTTATGATATAATTTTCGGGAATCCATTAGCTTGAGTTCATATTTATACATTTGGTTTTCATGTTAGCTTTACAACTATTGTGGATGTTGTCTCATTTTGTGTCGGTTATATCAAGTTGTTTCTGTTAGAGATCTTACTTTTGGGTTGACTTTGATATTTCAGGTAAACCGCAAGTATAGGATTGCACCTACAGCAGCATATTCTGACAGAAGAAGAACCTCATCCATGTTATTTTTGGATGGGAGGCAAAAAGCCTCCATGAAAATGGACAAGGATGAGACCAACATTCTTACTAAATCTCAGATAGATTTAGAGTTAGCGAAGATAAGGTCCATGACTCCGCAAGAGGCAGCTGCATTTGCTGCTCGAGCAGTTGCAGAAGCAGAAGCTGCCATAGCAGAAGCAGAGGAGGCAGCCAAGGAGGCTGAAGCAGCAGAAGCCGATGCAGAGGCGGCACAAGCTTTTGCAGATGCTACAACAAAATCAGGGAAAGGAAGGAAATCCCCAAGGAGGGTAAAATCTCTTCCTTCTCCATCTTTTCTCATTCATGATACTAAAATACGTCTGTAGAGCACGCAGAAAAATTCTTTTTGTTACAACTTAAAAGTAGAAGGACAGAGGCACATATTTTTCTTTAAATATGCTTAGGAAATGGGAATTTTGTTTTATTTTTCATATAAGATAGTGATGAGGGAAAGGAGCAAATCAGTTTCTCATATTGATGAGACTTGTGATTTGGTTAAGGATAAGAACATTTTTTTATCATTTTGGAGACATTCCATTTGGCTGCTTACTGATTCCCTGTTATCAAAATAAAATATTGTAGTATTCTAATTTTTGGCATTTCTAAATATCGTAGATCCATGCTTGATGGAAGTTTGAAGAATTAGACACTAGGAGGGATGAGCCGTGGCATTGAGTAGGGAAGCCAACCAGCTACATATCATTTGCTGGCATGGTCTACATTTTACACATAATAGGCTCTTGTTACTGTTCAGGTTTCACCTTGTTTAGGAGATTATTCTGAATTTTTGGGTCTTAAAATGTCCTTGTAGATAGAAGCATTGTTTGAATCTTTCTTGTAATTTCTTTAGAGCTATTGTTACCTTCGCGCTCTGGCCATGTACCCATTTACAGAATGTTGATGTTTAGATGAATGGGAATTCGTTCAAATTTCTTCTGAAGCATACATGTGCATCCTTTGACTTGTTATCCAGCCTTTTTAAGAGTTGAAAGTGTTATGTTGTGCATGGAAACCATTCTTTTTCATTTGTGGATTTAAGTTGTATTTGGAGAAACCTTTTCTCATGCCTTTCTAGGAGCAGAAAATGAAAACGGCAGACTAGTTTTTTTAGGAGAGAATAATGACAAAGTGGTAGAATAAATTCAGTTTTAACTCGTGTAAATAGTTTTTAGAGAAATTAGATAAGGGTTATTGTGATAAGATTGATTTTAGGTTATTTTTTTGTTTGTTTACGTATTATTGTTTGGTCAAATTTGGTTTTGGTTACTGTTTTCTATAATTGATTAATTAGTTTTCAAATTTAAAAAAAATGTGTGAATTTAATGTTTTATTATTTTATGATGGCGAAAAATCATATTAAATGTTAAATTTAGATTTAAAAGAAAAATTTGAATTATATATTCTAAAGGTTGAGTTTATCAATTTAAGAGTGCAAGAACTAAAAACGTACCTTTTCCTTTCTTTTAACTGAGTAAAGTTTAATTTAAGCTTATACTAATATACCTATTGTAGATGTAATAAGTTGTTGTCTACTCAAATCTCAGAATTAACATAACGTTATTATAACCCAAAACAGTTCCATTGTATAGAGATTTAATTCCATGATATTCACTTTCTTCATAGGTTGTTATATCCTTAATATATACCAAATTATAAATAAAAATTTAATATATTAATTTCTCTTGCTTCTATGTTTGTACTTTAGTAGGAAAGAATCAAAAGTCAGACAAAACTAATACTTAACTTTTATTAAAAGTCTTGATTTATAAATACAATATTTCACTACATATTTAAATTAGTATAAATTAATTTGTTTAATTAAAAGTTTAAGTCTAAATTAGTTTATTTAATTAAAAGTTTATATGCAGACATTACAACTTACACAGTAAAAGAAAAAGTTACAGATTTAAGGAAAAGAAAGTTTACTTAGTACACATAATTTCATAATGTCAAAATATCTTAAATTAAGTTATCTTCTAAATTGTAACTTTTTAATCAGAAACGATTTCAAAATTTTAGAAACAAAATAGAGAATGTTAAAATAAGGAATTTAAAGAGATGATAAAACTTGTAAAGTAAAATACTAAATAATTAAAATTATAATTTACATATTAAGCATAAATTAAAATTTTGACCTTTATGTTTTTAAATTATCTCTACTAAACATAAAATCTAATTATATTATGTTTCTACGTTTTAACTTTATCTTTCTTCAATTTAATACACCTATTTTTATATGCTAAATAACATAATAAGTCTGAAGTTAGAATGAATATATTTTCAATTTATCTAAATCTTATATATTTTTTTTATTATCTCTTAAAATTGTAAACAATTTGTAAAAATGATAAATTTCTTTCCAATCTCATAAATCTTTAAAATTATTTCAAATATTTTAAATTTTTATTATATAAAATTCATTAAAATTGAAATTACAAAATCTTAATCATAAAAATCTCTGAGAAGTTCTAACAAGTCATATCATTAGTACTTAATCTTAACATTTGGTAAGACTTTTTCTTATGACATAATAATATCTAAAGATTCCAATCCAATATAAGTTATAAAAGTTAATTGAAAACTCTTCTCTCTTTTCATAAACAGCCCAATATCTCCTCTTTGTCATGTCCTCTAAACCAAACATTTGATATCTATGTTCACTTCTGAACACTATAATTTTCCAAAATTATCCTTTTCTTAGAAATAAATAAGAAAGTTTGGTCACTACTGTTCCTGCATTCCATTTTGTCTCCACTCCATCCTTAGGTGAATATTGCACAGAAAGAGAGAGTGAAAATTCTGGTCTGTGTTGATCATGGAAGGTGGTTCAATGTGGCTACTCTATGTTTTTGGTGCTCTTCTTGTCCTAAGATTTCTGCTGAGAAATGTAAACTGGTTTCTCTATGAACAGAAACTGGGTGAAAAACAATACTTTCTTCCCCCTGGTCATATGGGGTGGCCCTTAATCGGCAACATGTGGTCCTTCTTTAGTGCTTTAAAGACCAATAACCCTGAGTCCTTCATGGACTCCTTTTACACCAGGTATACCATTCACTCTTCACTACTCTTTTTCTTTGCATTTTCTGCACTCAAAATATCTCTGCAGATTATCCAAACTCTTCACTATTAAAATCTCAGTCATGACATCATTATAACTTATGATCTCATGCATGTTATGGGAACAATCCACTATTAAGATCTCTAATGGTTCTTTTGAGGACACGGAAAGATTCAACACAATAACATCTTCTAGTGTTCAATAGACTAGTGTTCAATAGTGTTCAATTATGTCGGTAAAATATAAACTTAGATTCATATATATTTACAATCAAACGTATTATTTAAATTCTCTACCGTCTGGCTAATCTCAGTTTGTCAAAACTTAAACACTGTCCCATGATTGCTCCCATTTGCTTTTGATCCAGAGAATAAAGTTTTGCCACATAAACTGACATTTTCTTTTGCTAAACACATGCTAATTAACATCTTTGATTTCTTGATCTAAATTTTGGTTCTCAATTTTGGCTACGGAAAGATATGGACAATGTAATAGTTTCTATTCTATTACAGCCCGTACATAAATTTTACTGATGTTTTGAAAGCATATACCAGTTTACTGTATTTGAAAGAATATATTCATTTGTCTGTTTTGTTTTTGACGTCTCATCACAAAGTGACAGTGAATGTAAGGCTCTCATGATGAGTATGGTTCAGTGCAGTCCAAGAACTGCAGCATAAGATAACATTGTTTCGGTGGTTTTTGTCTCCTTCTGTATGAGGGACACTACATCAAGCATCATGTGCAGGTTTCACAACAAAAGTGTTTATTTTGTTTGGATCAAAACAAAAATCTGTACACTATTTGAAATGATTTTTTTCTTTTTACAAGTTTTTTTTCCTCCTTTGGTTAATATTGGCATTGTTATTAGAAAGTATTGGATAGTCCGATAACGGTCCGGGATAGTAGGTAGAATAGAAGAATAAAATGCCCATTTAAAACTTATTAGGATAGATTCTATGACTCTGATACCATATTAGAAGGTGGGTTTTTAAGCCCAACTCAACCCCACAAAACCGGCTTGTAAGGTGAGGTTTGCACCTCACTTATATATTATATTTTGGCCTTATCACTGGTCGAGGTCGGACTTCCAACAATTGTAGAAGCTTGTGATGTCAACTTTTAATCTCCTGTAGATAAGTGTCTTTTCTTTTTTTTTAAATATATATTTACCAACTCTCCTCTCTTTTCTTATTTTCTCTTATCCTAGCTTATTCCTTTATTCTTGTTGGTGAAACTTGTTGATAACATTAGGACCTCATCAGTATAAAGTATTTTATTAATTAAGTTTTAACAGTTTGTATTAGATGACTGTTTTCTAAGTAATTGTGTCACAAATTTCTTTTTTCTGTAATCTTCAAGATAACCTCAGTAACAAGCTGAACATATAGTTCATCATTTCATGCTGGCATAAACCATGAACTTGATGCATCAGTGTAACACACATTTACATTCAATGAACAATGCAGATATGGAAAAACTGGGATATACAAGGCATTGATGTTTGGAAATCCAAGTGTGATAGTCACAACACCGGAAGCATGCAAAAGGGTGTTGACAGATGATGGCAAATTCACTGTTGGATGGCCTCGTGCCACAGTAGAGTTGATGGGAAAAAAGTCTTTCATTTCAATATCCTACGAAGAACACAAACACCTTAGACGTCTAACATCTGCTTCCATCAATGGCTATGAAGCACTATCCGTTTACATTACATATATTGAAGAAGCTGTGATAAGTTCATTGGAGAAATGGACCACCATGGGAGATATTGAGTTTTTGACTGAACTGCGAAAGCTTACTTTCAACATCATTACACATATTTTTCTTGGTGAAGGAAAAGAAGATGCACATGCTATGGAGATTTTAGAAAAAGAATTTACTGCAGTTAATTATGGACTTAGAGCTATGCCAGTTAACCTTCCTGGATTTGGATTTTATACAGCACTTAAGGTAACTTCATGTATTCAATTTGTATCAAATAAGTCTCTATTTAAATATAGAAAAATAATCATATTTAATTGTCTTAAATATAAAGAAGTTTTAACTAATTTAAATATCTTAATTTAATTAAAAAATTTCAATAACTTTTAAGATTAATATGTATAAATATAATTCTAAAGTTTTATATAAAATTAAATTAGATATAAAATCTATCTATTTGGATAATATCTATCTACTTACAATATTTAATAAACGTGAATAAAATCAATTTAAAAGATATAGTTATTTTCATTAATCATAAAGACAATATACTTTTTAATAGATTAAAAATAATCTTTTGAAATAGTTTTAACATAAAATTATCACAAAAAAGAAATTTTATGAAAGGTTAGAGTTGTCATTAATTTATCGTTAGAAAATAATTTAAATATAAGTCAAAGTTTTATATTAAATAAATAACAAAATTAAATCATATAAATAAATTTCATAAACTCATTATTTTAATATTACTTTAATTTTTTTAGTTAAAAGTAATTTTAAATACTTTTAATATATATATATATATATATATATATATATATATATAATCAAACTTAATAAATCTCTGTATAAAAAATCCCATCATTTAGAATTCTCATTTTAACTTTGATGATGAATATAGCTAAAACCATATTCATATATTGTCCCAGGATATTCTTAATAAAATAATTATTATATTTACCTTTTATTTTTTATTTTTAAATCTTTTGTGAATACTTTATGACTATTATTACTATATTTATAACAATTATAATTATAAGTATTGTTGTAAGTGACATGACAATACTTAGAGTAAAAACTTTTATCGTACATATATTTTTTTTATCTTTTAATAACTTACATTTAGTAAAATATCACATATCATTTAAATCACAACTAATTAGGATGGCTGTAGTTAACACCAAAGAAATTGTCCAACATTATTTTAAATCCATACATATTTACTTAATTGCATATCAAAGTTCAAAACAATCTTAAATCAATTTATAAATATCTAAAAACATAACTGAAATGTTCAAGCAGAATTACGAATGTTGTAAATAATCAATATCATTAAAAACTACACTATTAAATAATCAATATCGTAGTTGGAAGGAATACTATAGTAAAGTAAATATAGTTTGTCAGTGTTAATTTAATTTGTTCATTTCTCATATAAATAAAATGCAGAATGTTATTGATAGAATTCTCGTATTCTTGACTTTGTTTTCCAAATGAACCAGAAGTACCTTCCAATGGAAGACAAATGCTGATATGTAACTTACTGCCTGAGAAATTAAACCTTGAAGTGCTTCTTTAGATGCAATGCAACATGTTATGTTATGAATTAACATTTTATAATTTCAGGCAAGAAAAAATCTGGTGGCCATATTTCATCCTGTTGTGGATAAACGAATAAAAGAAAGGAAGGAAAAGTTTCCCAGAAAAAAGGCCAAAGATATGATGAATGCTTTGATAGATGTTGAAGATGAAAATGGAAAGAAATTGAGTGTTGATGACATCACTGATATCTTGTTGATGTACTTGAATGCTGGTCATGAATCATCAGGACATATTACCATGTGGGCAACCTATTTCCTCCAAACTCATCCACAATACTTCAAGAAGGCTAAGGTATCAACTATGTAACAAATTTCTTAATTATCGTTAACTCATGTGCATTTACAATATCACCCTCAATAGGTCTGCGTTGACAAATTCAACTTTACTTCTCAGCATTATTCATTTGCTTAAACAGGAAGAACAAGAACAAATTCTAAAGAAAAGGCCTCCAACGCAGAAAGGGTTGTCATTAGCAGAAGTTCGGAAGATGGAATATCTATCCAAGGTAGAAAATAAATGGTTGATCAAAGGTTATACTTTCAACTTATAATTGATGTATTGTGATTATAACACGTTTTTGATTTGTTTACATTGCAAAGGTGATTGATGAAACACTGCGACTGATCTCATTCTCACTTACGGTCTTTCGGGAGGCAAAATCTGATGTCAATATCAATGGTTACTTTCTGTATTCAGTCATAATTTATCATTCCAATGAATATTAGAATAATCTACTTGTATTATGAATAATGAAGACTTTATAGTTATGCTGTAGCTAGATATCAGCACAACATAGCTTAAAATATTTTATTTATAGCACTATAGACATATATACACTAACTGGATGTTCATGTTTCAGGTTACTTGGTTCCAAAGGGTTGGAAAGTAATGGTCTGGTTCAGGTCTGTTCACCTTGATCCCGAGATATATCCTAATCCAAAAGAGTTTAATCCTGAGAGATGGAATGTAAGTTGCAGAGATTTAGTTGACAGCTGATTTGAATTGAACAGATTAATTATATGATTGTATGTGTTTTGTTGAATTTTGATGGAAAGTTTATCATGTGAAACAAAGGAATTGCACAAGGCTGGAGAATTTCTTCCGTTTGGAGCAGGAAGCAGATTTTGCCCCGGAAATGACCTTGCCAAACTGGAAATCTCAGTTTTCCTGCATCATTTTCTGCTGAATTACGAGTAAACACTTTTTAATAATTAAAATTTTATCTTAAAATTTAAGGAATAAAAGATATTTAATCTTATTTTATTTTACCATGAAGAGGTGGAAATCTGAGTTATATATGTCTGTCACAGGCTTGAACGCCTTAATCCACTTGCCCCTATGAGATTCCTTCCTCACCCAAGACCCATTGACAACTGCATGGCAAGGATCAACAAAGCGAAGTAATTATGGTCTGCTACATAGATCCTTGCATGGAAAAAGATTATGGTCTTCTTCGTATCAAGCTTCACATCAATAAGAGCAGGGATCTAATCTAATGAAACTTATTTCTTCATCGTATCAAACTTTCATTTCTTGTTGCTGTCTTGTCAGGTTTATCAAACTGCCTCAATAAACTAAGGATTCTATAAATTTATGTTTATTTGGTAGTAGCTACTCATAAAAAGAATGTTTGCATGTAAACAACACTATGAGAAATGTAAGCACTGGTTATATGAAACACCAACTTCCACCTAAATACTGAACATCCTAGACATAGCTCAATTCAAAAATACATATACAACTCAACAACCTAATTAATATAAACTTTACAAAACTTTAAATTAATAATTAATATTTACATATTCTTCTTAAAACATTCATATCAGATAGTTTGAGTTTGTGTTTGTGAAAGTGTTTACTAGGCAAACGGTTATTTTTTTTTAACTTGCTATCACCTTGAAGAATAATAACACAAAAGACACCTAATTAGCATTATTTAAATCCAGAAATTAAAAATAGTATTAGATAATATAAAATAAAATAAAAAAGATGATATTTTTAATTAAAGTACTAAAGAAATAATATATCAAAATTAAAGGACTAAAAAATTATTTTTTTATAAGTTCCAAATAAGTCATATTACTTAATTAAATCCATGTAATAAATATTGATAAATCATTTTTTATGACATTATCAAACTACTATTTATCAAGTTATCTAATATCAAAGACTAAAAATAATATTTCACGAAATTAAATTGTTAAAAAATAAAAATTTTAATTAGAAGAAAAAAAAAGAATACCCAATATGTCGAAATCTTCAATGTACATATATCTAGTTGAAAATTAGTTCTGAGTAATATTCTTTTAATATCATTAATCATATTAAAATACATCCAAATATAATTCACCGACTGTAATAAAACATAATGTTTATAATAATTTATATTGTAAACATTAATTACATAAAAACATATGATTTAAATTAAATTTACGACAAGGTAAACCAATATTTAATTAAAAATATATTGGTGGTAAAATTTGATCTAAAATTCAAAACTGTTCTCCATAAATTCAAGCTATAGACTTCATGGTAAATAGAAATAGTATATATTTTCTTACTGATAATTACAATTACATATAGCTATCTCCCAAGTAATTTTAAGGAAAGGTAGTAAAACGTTCATAACAAATGATGGAGATAAAAAAAAACATCACAATAAATGTAGTTTAGAAGGTTTTTTAAAAGCTATAAAACTATGTGAGCTTGCAACAGTATAATTTATTTTAATTTTATTGTGTTTTTCTGTTTATTTATCGTCAATATAAATTTTCTTTATTTTTTAATTGTAATTAATAAATTCTTTGTTCAATATACAAGCACTTTGTATAATAATCTCGTAAGCTATTCTCTTGTTTCCTGAATTATTCCCAAATAATTTAGACTATTATAAAAGTGTCAAAAAAGAAGTGCACCACAAAGCTCCACCAATATTTCATTCATAGCTACAATAACCACGATGGCAATACCTAAAAAGCCTATTCTAGACGACGACAAGCTCAAGGCCCATGTAAAATTCTTGTTTAGAAAAGTCTTTTCTTTTATAGTGTTTCTTCCTGCATTCTCTACCCCTACATTTTAAAAATATCATTCTTCAACAAATTTCAAATCCGTTGAAAATTCCTTCGAATTTTAAACTTCATTGAAAAACAAAATTTAAAAAAAATTCGTTGAAGAAAAATTCCTTCAACAAATATAAAAATTTATTGAAAATTTTTTCAAAAATTTTCACAAATTTCAAAATTTATTAAAAAAAAAAGATATAAAGTTTTTTTAAATGCGTTTGAAATTTAAAAAAATATAGGGTGCAAGGAAAAATGTGGAATGATTAGAAAGAAACATTCTTTCTTTTACTAATTGTTTTAGGCTTTCAAGAAAAAAAAACGTTTCGAAATTTTTTTATTACTAATTGTTTTAAGCTTTTAAGGAAAATAACATAAAAAAAATTCAAAAGGTAAATTTTAAATAAAATTTAATAAAAATAATACATTCTTAAATTTATTTTAAGATGCTCAAACCTTTGAACCGTGCATGTTTAAGACTAATATATTAATTTTCTTATGTATATAGACTCTTTTTTTTGTGTTGGCCATACTTAAAAATCTATTTTGGTTGCGGATTACTGTGGTTTTAGTATCTCTCCTCCATTTTTAACTAAAAGTTAATTTCCATTTTCATCATTTTTATGGAGGTGGAGAAAATAATGCCTAACTTTGTCTCATCTCTTTCTATAGGTAAGATCACTATTTATACTATTACTTTAAATATTAATTAAATACATACATTACTTCAAAAAATAGAACAAAATAAGCATAATATTATTATAGATTCAATTCTAAAAGATATAAATATTCTTCCTTCAATCCAAATATCAAAAAAGAAAAAAAACATCTAGTTAGGTAAATATTAAATTAGATTAGAAAATAAAATAACAATGTCATAAATTTTAAATATTTATTAATAAAAATAGAAATAATCAAATATGTGAATGATTTTTTTAATAAAATAAATATCTTTAAATAAAACACGAAACTAAACATAAAAGAAAACCGAATATGCAAGCTTTTTATGCATAAAGAAGGAAATATGATTCGGTATTAGTAATAACGGAAGATTATTTTTTTTCTAATTTTAAAAGTAATTTAATTTTAAAGGTATTAGGTTTCAGTTATTTAAATAATCGAATACTATTCTGATTTTAAAAGTATTAAGTTTCAATTTTTTAATAAAAAAAATTATATTTTTTATTTTAAAAATAATTTAATTTTAAGAGTATTAGATACAAAGATTAATACATTTAAAATTAAATTATTTTTAAAATCAGAAAGGAAATAAGTTTCGATTATTAAAAAACACTAAAGTCTAATGTGAAAATTTATATTTCGGTTGATAACCAAAATAAAGAAGTCATAATTTTTTATTTGATATATTTCTATTGTTGAACTAAAATAAAATATCTAAAATAATTGGTGTCAAAAACTTTTACATGTTATCAAGTTAACTATAAATTTACATATTTAAACATTTAAAATTGAGAATCAAACATTTTCATATTAAAAAGTAAACAATAAATAAAAAATATTTGAAAAAGAATAGAAATAATAAAATATTTATTTTAAAAACTATATTTGAATAATTAAAATTAAGGTTTGTGTTTATTAAAATGCAATACACTCTTTGAACAAAACTATACAAAGAAAAAAAAATGTGTACTTAAAGACGTGATAAGAGGAAAAAATATGTGACAAATATGAAAGAACTTTGAATTTTAAGTCTAACAATTGATAGTGAAAAGAAAAAGAATGTTATAACTTTTAACTAATTTTAGTAAACTCTTTTAGTTTAGTTTTTTAATTTTCAGTTATCCTTTGAGTTAACTTTATCAAATATGCTGATTGGAGGTTATCGTGTGATATGATCAATGTCACCTTCATGTTCTTGGCTATTCTGAATTGGAACATCATTATTTTACATACAATACTTATCTGGAATTCGGTTCAATCATACATTATTTTTTCAATTTTAAACAGTCTAATGCACAAAAAATTGGACAAATACCTAATGAGACAAAGTTCTTTTGTTCATTTGTCAGAACATTTAGATATGACAGAAGACTTCCTAGCTAGTGCTTAAAGAGAATATGAAAGATGCAGAATTGGAAAATATACTTATTTGTATGTACTGTGAAAAACTTTTTTTGTTTTCCTTTTTTTGTTGAAGCCATGTCAACTTAGCTTAGACTGGATCTGCAAGCATTTATCTGAGGAAGATAACATGGAGACAGAATTTCAAATTGAAAAGAGCCATATATACTACAGCTCTCAGGTTGTTGTAGATCAACATTTCTTCACCCTTCCCAAGCAATTGTCCATGGGCCTTGTATGTGGTAAGTATCTCACAGGACAATTAGGATTTTTCTGTTCAAAACTGTTGAATAAAAAAGTAACACAAAACTTCAGTTAAAAAAAACTCAAATTTCAATGTTTTTACCATTTGATTCATAAGTGATTAACTTGCTTATGTGTAACAGTTTACTCAGCAATCTGCTATTGCTAGAATGAGCAAGAAAAGAAACATTAGACTTAGGTCCAATCATAGTACTCAAACTATGGTAAAATATAACTTATTATGGAAAAGTGATGTATGCAATGGTAGAGTGAGAATGTTCACCGGTAATTCAGAAGGAAATAATGAAGAAAAACTGCTATTTCCATCTTGGCAAGATCATTCCCAGGACACAATCTGCTTCCTGCCCCAAAGGGAAGGAATTCTCCGGCTTTGTGTTCTTTCTGTGAATAAGCATCACCAAATTCAAAATTAAACCATAAACCACATATACAATTGCAGACTGCATGACTCAATTCAGAATAGGCAAAGATGAAGCTTGGGAACTTACATTCCATCTATAAGGGTTAAATTCCTTTGGATTAGGATATATTTCAGGATCAAGGTGAACTGATCTGAACCACACAAGTGCTTTCCAACCTTTTGGAATTAAGTACCCTGTATCACCCCATATACGGTTAATATTTTGTAACATGAGTGAAAGATTATACTTAATACCACACCATGATGTTCTTCGACATTCATGCAGTGAACAAATATCATACTAGCCACTTGCCATCATATAATATACAAAACTAAGTTCAACAACGGAGAAGAGTCTAGCTTTGTTTTTTCACTTCTTTCATTTCTGATACTGACAACAAATAAATAGGAAGAACACGGACTGACCATTGATATTGACATCAGATTTTGCCTCCCGAAAGACCACTAGTGAGAATGTAATCACACGCATTGTTTCATCAATCACCTAAACAATGTGGAAAATAGAAACATGTACTATTATAGTTGACACAGTAGATATTGATATTAACTTCAGATCAATAGCTACCTACCTTGTAAAGAAAATCCATTTCACGAACTTCCTTTAGTGTCAACCCTTTCTGTGTTGGAGGCCTTCTCCGTACTATTTCTTCTTGTTCTGCCTATTCAAGGCGTAAAGATAAATGTTAGTTTTGATCTTACTCTACTATAGAGGGTAGAACAAGGATACATTT